ATATATATATATATATCTCACATCTTCTTTATCTGTTCATCCATCGATAGACATTTGGGCTCTTTCCATACTTTGGCAATTGTTGATAGTGCTGCTATAAACATTGGGGTGCATGTGCCCCTTCGAGATAGCATACCTGTATCCCTTGGATAAATGCCTAGTAGTGCAATTGCTGGGTTGTAGGGTAGTTCTATTTTTAATTTTTTGAGGAACCAGAGTGGCTGCACCAGTTTACATTCCCACCAGGAGTGCAAAAGAGATCCTTTTCCTCCATATCCTCGCCAACATCTGTTGTTGCCTGAGTTGTTAATGTTAGCCATTCTGAAAGGTGTGAGGTGGTATTTCGTTGTGGTTTTGATTTGTATTTCACTGATGATGAGTGATGTTGAGCATTTTTTCATGTGTCAGTTGGCCATCTGAATGAATAGGACTGGTATTCTTATAAGAAGAGGACATATGCATATCATTCTACACATACAGAGAGGAAAAGCCACGTGAAGACAAATTGAGAAGGTAGCTCTCAGTAAGCTTGGAAGAGAGACCTCATCAGAAACCAATGCTACTGGCACTTTGATCTGAGACTTTGTAGGAGTGCTGACAATACTGTCTCCATCTTTGGCCTTCCTTCTTGTTCTTCTCTGTGCAATGATCTCCCTTGGGCTTATTCGTTCCAGGCATAGTGGAGGTTACTGTATGTCCTAGCTGGAATGAGGGAAAGCTTATTCTGATTATCCCTCTGGTGTATAGATTGCGCCACTTTAGATAACTAGTAGAGTTCCTTCTTTCACACAGATGGTGCTACTTTGGATAATTACCCTTTGTTCTCACGTCAGTGATCCCCCCCATTCTATAGATTCTATGGATTAAGGTCTGGACTTCATGGAAAATAGCCGCATAGTGGTGAGATTGTCCACCCAATCCCCCTGACAGTAAAGTTGCCCTGAATAAAACTCTGTGTAAGCAGTATGGAGTGGCTTGCTTTGTTTTTGGTCTCAAAGTGCCTTCTCAGTCTGGAGGATATTTTACTGTCCCTCCTCTACCAACATAAATTTCTGTTGTTTAAGCCATCCAGTCTGTGGTGTTTTGTTATGACAGCCTGAGCTGTCTAATACAGGTATATATAATTTTTTTTAGCTGAAAATAATTGTTTGTGAGGGTGTGTAGAAACTGGAACCCTTGTGCATTGCTTGTGGAAATATCAAATGCTGCAGCCACTATGGAAAACAGTTTGGCATTTTCTCAAAATGTTAAAACACAGAATTACCATATGACCCAGCTGTTATACTGTTAGGTATATATCCAAAAGAATTGAAAACAGGGAGTTGAACAAACCCTTTTATGTACATATTTATAGAAATATTATTCATAATATCCAAAAGATAAAAACAATTCAAGTGTCCATTAACAGATGTCTGCATAAACACAATATGGTATATACATACAATGGAATATTATTCAACCATATAAAAGAATGAAATTTTAATTTATGTAACAACATCATCGATGGACCTTGAAAACATGCTTATTGAAATAAGGCAGACTCAGAAGGGTAAAGATAGTATGATCCCACTTGTATAAAGTACCCAGAATAGTCCAGTTTAAATAGAGAAAGTAGAATACAGGTGATTGGGGGCTAAATGGAGGAGGAAAGGGCTAGTTATTGTTTAATAGAGTTTTTGTTGGGGATGATAAAGAAGTTTTAGGTATAGATAGTGGTGATGTTATGTAACATTGTGAATATCTAATTTTGATGAAAAGTAAGTGTGCTTAAGAATGGCTAAAATTATAAATAGTATGTGTATTTTACCATACACACAGACATGCTCACACACACTCCTAAGAAAATCACCACTGATTTTATTAGGAAAGTTTTTAAGTATTAGTGGAAACAATCAGGCTTACGGTGACAAATACAAGGTTTCCAAAATTCTAATATTTGCATAAGAACTCAAAGTTTTCCTTGACATTTTGTTCATTTTCAAGGAAACGTCTGACACAAAATGAAGTCTGAATATTCATAATTTGTTTGTCGTTTTCTAATTAAAAATGTTGTTGCAAGAAAAATCAGCTGGGTCGGCTCCCAACTTTATGAAACAAGTCCTTTGATTTAAGACAACTGTTTTAGTTTGAGCTGCTATAACAAACATGCCATGGACTTAAACATCTATTTCTCACAGTTCCAGGATCAGGGTACCAATGGGTCTGGTATCTGCTGAGGGCCTACTTTGTAGATGGCTATCTTCTTGTATCCTGACATGGCAAACAAAGAGAGAGGAAGCAGCTATCCCATGTTTCTTTCTTTTTTCAATATTTATTTTTGAAAGAGAAAGAGAGACAGAGACAGAGCACTAGTGGAGGAGGGGCAGAGAGAGAGAGAGGGAGACACAGAATCCAAAGCAGGCTCCAGGCTCCGAGCTATCAGCCCAGAGCTCAACGCGGGGCTTGAACCCATGAACCGCAAGATCATGACCTGAGCCAAAGTCAGATGCTTAACCGACTGAGCACCCAGGCGCCCCCTATGTTTCTTTTTATAAGGGCACTTATCCCACTCATCAACTCTACCCTCATGTCTTAATTACCTTCTACTACCATCTTATTAGGGGCTAGGAATTCGACATTCAGTCCATAAAAATAGCCACTGTACTTTGATAATGCTGCAAAAGTACTTTATGCTTCCATCCCATTTTTGAAAATTGTGATTAAAAATCACATAACAAAATATTTACCACTTTAACTTTTTAAGTGTATAGTTCGGTAGTGTTAAGTATGTTCATATTGTTGTGAAACATTTCCAGAACTATTTCATTTTGCAAAACTAAAGATTTCGTCCCATACAATAAGGGTTGAGATTTCATAAAGTTATTTATTTATTTATTTATTTATTTATTTATTTATTTTGCTTCATCAAAGACACCTTAAGTTGAAAGTGGTACTTTTTAAAATTTGCAATCACTATCACTAGTATGGAAAGTTTGGTGCCTCTGCCTCAATTTGCATTAGCAATTTTATGCACCATTACTTTAGTACTATCAGTGCAAATGTGAACACAGTGAAAAGGGCAAATAATACCTTGGTGTTATTGTGAAAATGGTTTTGAGTTGCAGACTTTCTGAAGAGTTCTTGGGAAGCTCTTCAAACATCCTCAGTCTACATGTTGAAAACCACTGATTTAGATCAGTGTCTTAGAAAGAAAGAAAAATAATAAATAAAGCAAAACACAGGAAAGAACATTTCGTGATGGGATAGGTGAGGGAGACCAGTTAGTTCGAGTGAAAGAGGAAGAAAACCTATATTTGAATAATGGAGTGCAGATGAAAAGGAAAAAAAAATAGACTTAGGTGAGATTTCAGAAGTAGAATTGATGTACAGAATTGCAGGTATGTCTTTGGATTCATAAAATTATTACCTTTGTGCCAGATTTTATTCCTCATTTCCACTTATCCAATTTATATCATTTACCTAATTGCTCATGAAAATTGAGATTTTCTCTAGTACCACAAGAAACTAAAGTAAATAATGGATCTGGAATAGGAATAAGCGAGTCTTTTAGTCATGTGGTTCTACTTACTGCTTTAGTTTGAAAATTTATAACCATGTTCTTTATCAACTTCTGCATATACCTGTGTTGAACATAAATAGCGATTCAAATATTTATCTTTATGTCTTAGTTTAGTTTTAGGGACTAATGTCTTTTCCACTGTTCAGACCCAACAACAAACAAATAGTACAAATTGGTTTAAACCCTTGGTTCTTGATATTTCAGTTTGAAGGCTTTTTTTCCCCCTTCTCAAACAGCAGTTCAAATGCCTCGCCTTCAGAAGGTGCACCACTAGTAGGAAGTTATGGATGTACTCCTCATTCATTCCCAAAGTTCCAGCACCCTTCTCATGAACTTTTGAAGGAAAATGGCTTTACCCAACAAGTGTACCACAAGTATCGTCGAAGATGCCTAAGTGGTAAGATGCTTGTCCTTAAAATAGCTGTATTTAAAATTAAAATATAATATTAAAAAGTGTGACATTTAATATCAGGTTAAGATATTCTTTTGTTATAATTACCTTAAGTAAATGTGTTTATACATATTTTATCATGTATTTTGTAGCTTATATACATTAGGAAATGAAGTTTAGTATATTCTTGTTACTATTGACAAATGCTTAAATTTGAACAGTGAGTCAGAAAACAGATTAATATTTGTCCCTTAGTTAGAAGAAAGCCAAATACATTTTAAAGATTAATATGTTTTAGTTTTCCTTATTTTAAGTTATATAAAATGTCTGCTGTTTTGACTATTTAATAAGCATCTTTAACAAAAAAAAGTTTTATTATTTTATCTTTTTCCAGAGAGAAAACGCTTGGGAATTGGCCAGTCCCAAGAAATGAATACCCTCTTTCGTTTCTGGTCCTTTTTCCTCAGAGATCACTTCAATAAAAAAATGTATGAGGAATTTAGACAACTTGCTTGGGAAGATGCAAAAGAAAATTACAGGTCAAATATTTTCTCACATTTTACAGTTGAAGGGAGTTTTCAATAAAATAATTTAAAGGGTAAAGTGCCCAGTTTTGAACTGTGAAAGTAGAACAACATAACTGGGGAGAGGCTGTATGTTTCCTATTGCTGCACAGCAAATTAGTCCAAAACTCAAAAAATTAAAACACCAAACATTTCTTAGTTTACAGTTTCTAAGGGTCAAGACTCTAGAACAGCTTAGTTGGGTGGTTCTGACTCAGATGTCTCATGTGCAGTCAAAGTGTTAGACCCGGCTGCAGTCTCTAAAGACTTGACTCAGGCTGAAAGATCCTCTTCAAGCTTATTCACATGGCTGAAGCTTCAGTTCTTCACCACATAGGCCTACTACTCAGCATTTAACGACATGACTTCAGAGCAAATGATCTAAGAAAGGTGAAGAACTTCTAAGACGAAGACTTGATGTCTTGTATAACCTATGTTTGAAAGTGACATACCATCACTTTTGCCATGTTGTATTATTCACACAGACCAACCTTGGTACCATCCCTGGTAGGAGAAGATTACCCAAGATTGAGAATACCAGGAGGTAGGATCATTTGGAACCATCTTAGGGGTTGGCACACATTCCAAATGAAATTTGAAAGAGCCGTTAGAGACTTCCCTTGCATGTGCACTTACATCCCCAAACTGACAAATACTTAGAGCCAAATTAGTTGTTAAGATGCCTTGAGCCAAGAAAAAATAAGGCCTCTCATGATATGTCCACACTCATCTATCAAATCTCATTTTTTCCTACTAGTGCTCTGGTCCTCTAGGCAACAATATTACTGAACATGTTCTCTGAATGACCCAAGTTATTGCATCTAGATAGCTATACATATTCTTACCTCTGGTTATTCTGTTCTTCCTCCCTCTGCATTGCTAACTCATTCTTTTCATCCAGGCTAGACCTTGCTTCCTTGAGAAGTGTTCAGGATAAGTTTTGAGAGTTCCTATAGGACAGAGTTGGGACCAAACTGAAAGGGTCAGAAAGAACATGAAGTAGACTTATGCAAGCAATTTATTCCTGGAAAGGGGAAGAAAGGAAGAGATGGAAAGAAGAAAAAAAGATAATTTTACACTCAGTATTTACTTAAATTTGCCGTTCTAAAAATGGATTCTACTTGTAAATCTTAAATAAGAATATATTGTTAACCAGATATTGTGATCTTTGAGAGGAAAACAAAAAATAAATTTTTCAGGAAAAAAAATTGCATTTACCCTGACTTGTAGAAAAAATAGACTTTAATTTTCATCCAGAATATTTATCTGTACTTCTATTTCTCTCTTTTCTATTCCTGACCTCTCTAATCAACCCCAAAACTGTTTAATAATGTTCCTGAATTCAGATTTTTGGTCTTTCTTATCACAGTTTTAATAGCTACTGCCAATTTACCAGGTTTAGCACAAAAGGAAAAACTTGCCATTTTTGATTTTGGTGTTATTCAAATATATTGACAACAAAACATTTTGATATTATTCAAACTATGGTTTGCTACTCATTAGTGGGTTGTGAAATCAGTTTAGTAGTTTGAAAAATGTCAGACTGCACTGAACATAGGTTAAAATTTTTTATAATTTATATATACATGCAAATTTAGAATTGTTTGCAAAGCTTATATATGCTTTTATGTATACATGTATATATGAGTATTGTGTCACCAGATAAAATATTTTTCTTACTATTATATTTAGAAAAGTTTGAGGGGCACCTGGGTGGCTCAGTTGGTTGAGCATCCAACTCCTGATTTCAGCTTAGGTCATGATCCCAAGGTCTTGGGATTGAGCTCAAGATTCTCCCTTTCTCTCTTCTCCCTCTATCCCCCTCCCCCACTCATGCTGTGTCTCTCTAAAATAAAAAGAAAAGTTTGAAAGTCACTGTTATTATCAGTGTCTTTTGCTGTTTCTGCAAACAATTTCTGTTTGTTCTTCAGGACTTTCTAATAACTTTCTGATATGCCCATGCCTATCCAAGTCTAGGTTGGGAATTCTTTTTCTGTGTTCCTATATCAGTCTGTATGTTTCTAGTGGTTTTTAACACATAATTTTGGGTCTGTTTCTGCAATGTTCATGACTAACCTGGATTAGCTGTTCCTTAGGAAGTATGTAGCACAGTTATTGTTAAGCATCTGAAGGCTTTGAAATCAGGGCCAAATTTGAATACCAGCCTATTAATTCACTGTGGATTGGCAAATCATTAATCACAATAAGCTTCAGCTTCTTTATAAAGTAGGGGAAATTGTGGTAGATACCCTCAAAGGGTTATTGTGAAGATAAAACAGAACATGTTCCCTGATACACAGTAAGTGCTCGATAAATTGTTACTGTTATTAGAAAGATTAGTACTGAATCTATCCATTGACTAAATTCAACAGTAGGATAGTTTTAAGAAGGAAGGAGAGAAATAACCTTTATTATCTTCAATGTGCCATCTCTGGTCTAAGTACTTTATAAATATTTGTGTCATCTATTCTTGAAAAGTATGATATTGTTATCCCCCATTTTCAGGGATGTAATTACAGGCCCAGAATTCAAATATAGTTCTTTCTGCTTCTCATCCTTTATATTTTCCACTCATCTAAGCTTTCTCACAATGAGGGGTAAGTGAATAAATGGCAACTGAGAGGCTGGCCATTTGCCCCTTGTCTTCACTTCAGCAGTTATGCTGCATAGTTGGATTGTGATTAATGTTATACTTTTGAAAAAAAAAGTAATGTCATACTTTTGGTCTTTGGAATTGGTTTGCTAAAAATTAAGACTAAAAATCCAAATATTGTAGTAGTCTATTGGCCTTTACCAATAACCTCTAAGAATTCTAACATTCTTCTAGAATGTCATTTACTTGATAAAACCCAAAACATTCTCAATTCTGCTTTCAAGAAAGAAAGAAAAAAAAAAGAAGAAGAAAAGAAAAGACAGAGACATAGGCTTCACTGCCAAAGATTCGGATTTCATTGGTTTGGAGCAAAGCCTTGGCATCAGTATTTTTAAAAGCTCTCCAGATGATTCTTATATATAGCCAAGGTTGAGATATCAATGCTTTATATTTATATTTATATTTATATTTATATTTATATATAAGTATATAAGCTAATACCAGTATAATATCACATAAGAGGAGTGTCAAGGCATGTTTGTCATTTCTGAGCTGGTGATTCTTTAGTCCTTAGTCCCCTTAGCCTTCAGTCATATAAGCTCAAAGAATAGTATCACTTATGGCTACCAAAACAAGGGGCTCAGGTCAGTGTGTGGGGGTAGTTGGTAGTCCTACATTTCTCTTGGTAGCTTGCCAAGAAACCTATTTATTCTTCTGGGCAGACCATCGCTTTCCATCTTGTAAATAAGGTAGTTACAAAAGACACACACACACACACACACACACACACACACACACACACACCCCTTCATGTGAATAAAAGCCAGGCAAAATTATTTTACAGGTAATGAAGAAATTGTATGTAGTATTTATTCACTAAGGCACCCAGCATGACTTAAGGATTCTAACTAGGAATCTATTAATTGCGACTTGTTTTAGTTGAGTAAGCTAGACATGGTCCTTTTACTGCTGTTCTGAAGACTGTGTTCACTGTCATGGGTTCTGCTCATCACCATTAATTAAATTAAAGATTGAGCCCATGTAGTTTGCTGATCCACTGTCCAAAATTTGTCTTGGGTTCTCTAGGTAGCTTTAGAAGAAAACAAGGAAATTTGCTTTCTGATTTTATGTAGTGATTACAGTTGTTTTAGCAAAATATCTTTTATGAGATGTACTTTATAGCTAAAGTAGGGAAGATCTATTAGGAGCCATTTAATTAGGTTTGTCATTTATAGTTGAATAGGTCAACCACACATAGGGTCTAGGGCACAGAGTATAGTCTTTATCTCTCTTGAGTAAAGATTATGTTCAAGAGTATTTAAAACCACACACAAACATACCATTATAAACCTTGGTTTGGGAAAAATCTAAAACATTCTTAATGCCACTGAATCTTTTGGACATTTCTTCAGAAATACCAGGGAGAGATCCTCTGTCCAAAGGAAGACAACTCTGGTTGTCCACAGGCTGCCTATCATTCTGCAGGTTCCCATTATAGTTCCATGAGGTGCTATGGCTGAGTGAACAAAAAATAGCAAAGCCATCCATGAATTACTAATTAACCATTTCAGCTAAAAACAAACAAAACCCTGCATACTAAAATTTACATACATTTAAGCTCTTCTGTTTTTTTGCTTGGGGTTATTTGTGTCATGTTTCCATGTATCAGTGCTGCTAAGTATGAAATCTTCACATTGTCATAGCAAAATTTTTATCGTAAACCATTTATTTCCTTTCCGCAGGTATGGATTAGAATGTCTGTTCAGGTTTTATAGTTATGGACTAGAAAAAAAATTCAGACAAGAAATTTTTAAGGATTTCCAAGAAGAAACCAAAAAAGACTACGAATCTGGTAAAACAAAACATCCCAATAATCTTATTCTATTTAGAAATTGTAAACCTGAGTCAATAAATAGGGAGAGTTCATAACTGTTTTTTTTCAGAGTAGGCCATTTAAGACCTTCAGGTCACTATTATGGTTCTTGATGAAGGATGGATGGAGCACCATATAGTAAGAAGGCCATTCCTATGATGTGTTAGAAAATAACCATACCCATGTGTTTCCTTTATGAAGTAGTATTTTGCCATTTTTTCCTCGACAAAACGTGAAAATAATACTCACTGATGTTCCATTACTTGAAAATTCTTTGTAACATCAGCAGGTAGGCTTCAAAAGATAGATTAGCACAGTGGGTAATGGTGCTGACTTTGGGCCAAATGCATAGGTCCGAATCCCATTTCCCCTACTTAGTAGCTGTGTGACCTTGGTTAAGTTACTTAACTTTGTTAGCCTCAGTTTACTCATCAGTAATATACATAAGTACCTATATTACAGGGTTGTATGTGGTTCAAATTAGTTTAATAAATAAAAACCATTTAAATAATACCTGTTACATAGTGGATTCTTACTAAATGTTAGCTGCCATTATTATTACAACATCTTATTCTCAAGAACTAGATAAAGTGTTTGCTGGAAGGTAAATGATAATTGCTGGTAGGATCATGTTTAATATGAATCATTTTTAAAATTCTATATAATTTAATGTGTATACTTTTCTTTGTTACTAGGTCAGCTGTATGGATTAGAAAAGTTTTGGGCTTATCTAAAATATTCTGAATCTAAGACGCAGTCTATTGACCCAAAACTTCAGGAATACCTCTGTAGCTTTAAGAGGTTAGAAGACTTCCGCATTGATGTAAGTTTTAAGTCCTTTCTTCTGTAGTCTTTTTTTTTTTTTTTAACATTTATTTATTTTTGAGACAGAGACAGAGCATGAACAGGGGAGGGGCAGAGAGAGAGGGAGACACAGAATCTGAAACAGGCTCCAAGCTCTCAGCACAGAGCCCGACACGGAACTCGAACTCATGGACCGTGAGATCATGACGTGAGCGGAAGTCAGACGCTTAACCGACCAAGCCACCCAGGCACCCCGATCTTCTGTAGTCTTTTTATTACCTTTAGATTTTGAGCTATCAGTGACTTTCTTAACTTTGATTTTATAATTTTTATTTTTTTAACTTTTTATTTCACAATTTTAATGTTCTAGTTTTGAAATCAAACTTTATTTTTTTTTTTAATTTTTTTTTCAACGTTTTTATTTATTTTGGGGACAGAGAGAGACAGAGCATGAACGGGGGAGGGGCAGAGAGAGAGGGAGACACAGAATCGGAAACAGGCTCCAGGCTCTGAGCCATCAGCACAGAGCCTGAGGCGGGGCTCGAACTCACGGACCGCGAGATCGTGACCTGGCTGAAGTCGGACGCTTAACCGACTGCGCCACCCAGGCGCCCCGAAATCAAACTTTAAAACAGGTGCAAAAATAGTACAGAGAATTCTCATATACTCTGTTTACCCAGATTTCCTAAATATTAACATCTTACATAACCACAGTCCAATTGTCAGTTCACTTTAATTTTGATAAGCCCCTATAATTAAACATTTTGTAGATTTAGTAACTTTTATGTGGATATGTTAATAATTTCTCACACCACTTTGAAAATTTTTCACTTTCTATGTACCTTCATCCTATAGTTTCCTAAAATGTGCTAATGTAACATGTATTTAGGTTTCCCCACACAATAAAGGTAGGACAAGAATATTATATACATATGTAGAGACAGGAGAATAAACTTTAAATGATTTGACAAGGAAAGCATTACAAAGAAAGAATGGGATGAAAATAAGATAAAAGGAAAAAGAGAAATAAGGACAGAAAAATAAAAAAAAACAGAAAAGAGAGAGGTGGAAGGAATGCTAGGTCCATCTCTGCTTAGTATTGTAATTTGTTTGTCTTATATTTTGTGTAAATAGGTTTGATGGCCTAGCGATGGAATTAATAGATGTGCTTGTCTCTGGAATTAAAGTGTTTCTAGAGCAGCCTAGCCAGTTCTTTCACAAAGACATCCTTGCTCTGTAATAGTGACTTTTGCCCTATCTGAACAGGAACTGAGAGTTCAGGCTTCCGCTTTTAAATACAATGGAAGACTGGAGAGGAGGTTATGGTCTTAACTTGTCTACAAATGAAAATATTAGTCTGGTGGTGGGTTCCCAAATCTTTGTAATTGGAAAGGCCTTAAAAGCTGACTTTTTTTTTTTTTGAGTGCAGAATATGTTTTCACTGCCTACCCTCTCCTTGCTTGCAGTCTGAGGGGACTTGGGAGCTTTATGGATATTTATGTTTGAAAATGTTTAAAATTAATACATCAATAATGCTTTCCGGTCTCCTTATTCTAGAAACCCTAGATAGACTTTCAAACTTGCTAAAGATTATTTAACTTGGTGTCTCTTTCCCCCCTGCTGCTTTCATTTATCTGTTAAACATTATCATTCAAACAAGCCTAGGATAGGTGTTTAGGGTTGAAAGGGACTGGAGTTGACAGAGGTTGAATAAAGCACAAAAAAAGTCTCTTTGAAACATTTTCTTCGAGGCAGGGAACCTAGCTTTATATTTATGCTCTGCAATGTAGTTCAAGCCCCAAAACATATGAGAATCTTAATAAACACATGTTGAGTGAAAGAATGAACAAATACTAGTAGGCTGATTTAGTTGAGGAAGAAATGTAATACCTTAAATTGCTGTTAAGTTTTTGTTATGCTAGTAACATCTACTGAAGTGCCAACGTAGTTTCCTTCTTTCTTGAAAAAGCCTGGCCTTACATTTTGAAGGGAGGAAAAATAGTAAAATTGTCACTATGTTGTCTTTCATAATTTGCAGCCCCCTATTAGTGAGGAATTTGGAAGAAAAAGACATTCATCTACTTCTGGTGAGGACAGTAGTCGTCATAGACTTCCATCTAATTCCTCTACAAAGCTACCAAATGCTGCTAAGCCTACATCTGCTAATCAGCTTTAGGTCCCAATAAACTCTCCCAGAAGGAATACTTCACAGGAGTCCAGTGACAATTCACACCAGAAAAGTGCTGCCTCAGTTTCAACAGATGGTGAAATGCCTGAGAAATAGACTGTTATGAAAGTTGTTTGCCCTTGAAATCAACATTTGCATCAGTATTTATTTGGGAAAAATCTTCTGATGTTTGTGATCATCACAAAAAAGAAAAAAGAGGAAAAGTGGTAGCATTTTTTTCTAGCAAGATAAATTCTGAAAACATTTTCCCTGATGTCATGAGCAAGGATAGTTTTGGTGACCTTTTATAGAGATCCTCTATTAATGTATTTTGGTCCCAGTATTTCTTTTTCAAAGCAATTGTTTACAAGAACAGCATTCCTTAAATATATACAAAAACAATACAAGGAATGCCTAACATTTCAGCTCATACTTCTTAAAGAAGATACAGTATGTTGTATTCATCTCTTCTATAGAGCTTTCCTAAAGAATCCGATCACCCCGTTATCAATTCATATTTGAACTTATCAAAAACAAAGGCAGATTACGTATATATTTTTTAAATTCAGAAAAAGAATATGAACTGATACATTTGCTTTTCTTGTTGATGTATAGTTTAAGGAAACTTTTTTTTTCTTTTTTTACTAAAGTAGAACTATATTGCAGTTAAATTGGAGTATGAAGTATGTGCACTTTGGATGCTGAGTTTGCTTTTTTCTCCCTAGTCATACCTCATGATTTCCATAGTTATTGTTGTGCTGGTGTGGAGTGTTCTGAATTGGCATCAGCTGGTTACATATTAGAAGTGATTTGCTTTCTGTGACTCTGTATAAGCCTGCACAAGTAATTGAAAACTGGGTTGGGATTGGTTGGAATATTGTCCTAAATCAATTAAATCTCACACTGTTTTGAATGCATCTGCTATTTGTCATCTGCAGGTGGTTATGTCACAAGAAGTCAAATTATCTTCAATTTAAAAGTAGTTTTTCCTGTTTCTTTTAGTTTTGTTTTGTGCTCATGTTTTCAAGAGTTATAGCAAATTTATTTCTAATTTTTATTGCTCTTGCAACTGATGTAAATGATAGTTTCAGTTTTGTGGGATTAAAAAAAAATAAAGCGCTTATTCTAAATTATTTGAATTGATTTTTAATTATTTTGTTTAGATATAGTTGAAAAGCAAAAATATTCAAATTCTGCTAGTAGAAAACCACTCTATTTTGTGAATGAAATTTCAGTTATAAACCTATATCCAATTTATTTACCACATATATTTTCTTGGCAGAGCAGCCAGTTTAATACACTAAATTATTATTTTCTTTTTGATGTTTTTATAGGATGACAACATTGAAAAACATACAATCTTTGGATAAATGGGCTATTCATCAGTAAATGAGATTTTCATTAGTTCATTAGTTTCACCCATGCATAAATGATAATCTGCAGTTTTGTATACAATATTTGGGGGTTATTTTGATGTGTTAATTTTAAGAAATAGTCAAATTTGAATATCCAGAAAATAAATTTACTTAGAGATGTTGGAAAGAGGATGCAAAACAACTAAAGGATTAGAGTAATAAATTTCTAAATGTTTTCTTAAGTGGATATGTAGTTCTGGCTTTTCAACTGAGAAGTTTCCAAACCATGCTTATTAGCTTTAAGGGGATCTCTTGAAATAATCTAAAAAGTTTTCTTGATATCCTTTTTGTGCTGAACACATACATATGAAACATGTATTTAAGATTATTTCCACTCACCATATGCAAATGTAAATTTGATTGGAGAATTGTATATTTTATATGAAAATAGTAATCAAGAGTTTTGTGATGTGTAATAAATTAGAAATTTTATATTATTTTTATTATAAAAGTAATACATGTAACTGGAAAGTTTAGAAAAGCACAAAGAAGAAAATAAAGTACCTTTTTAAAAAAAGAAAAAACAAAATTGGCATCATGCTATACATATAGTGTTATGACCTTTTTTCACATATTAGAGGTGAGCATTTCCTGATGTCATTAATATTTTTACACTATGACTTTTACAAGTTATGTAATATTGCAGCAGGTACTTCACATTGCATCATAGTTTATATTTAGCTAATCTCCTGTTGTTGAACTATAGCATGTGGCCAGGTTTGAGCTGTTACAAACAACAATTTAATAATAATCCTACCAATAAATCTTTGTGTATATATCAAATTGGACTTGCAGGGACATTCACATTATGCCACTTCACTCTTATGAAAGACCTATCTTAGTATGGTAATGGCTTTTCTTGTAAAAGTGAAAATCCTCTTTGGATTTCTTTCAGTTCTCAAAAACAGAGACTAAGGTAGGTCTTTTGTAAAAGTAAAGTGGTGTAACAAGAACTTGAAGAAAGTGAGGGATACTGCTCTTTACGCCATTTCGATTTATGAAAGGTTTCTTAAGAATGCTTTACTCGGATGTCAGGGGACACCTGTATTGCTAGCATAAATTCGTAGGAGTTGAAATTCTAAGTAGAAATGTGTTCCCATTCTAACACACTCTAGAATGGTTGCACGGTTTATACTGAACCAACAGATCTGCTTTCCTGAATCCTCACCAACACTGGTTATTATAAATCTTTCTCTTTGATAAATTGAGAAATAAAAACACTATTTTAATGTCATTATATTAATGAGCGGTAGTTTTTATTGTTTATTAACTATATTATTTGTAGATGGCTTGATCATATCCTTTATGTCTTTCATGATTATCTTTTTCTGATTGATTTATAGAGCTTTTATACTTATCAACAACATTAACCTTTTGCTTTCTAATTTTTGTTTCTGTATGTTTAACATGGTATGTATATTTTTTTGGTAAAAAATTTAAAAAATTTACTCCTTAAATTTTAAATTTAAAACTCAAGCAAATAAAAGCATTATTATTCAATGAAAAGAAAAACATTATTGACTATAAATCTAAACAGCCCTACCCAAAATTTATGTAAGTCCCTAGAGACTTTAGATGCTTCCTTTTCAATTTTATAAGTAAAAAGGCAACGTTAAAATAGTTAAATCCAACTACTTATTTTTTTTAAGAAATAGGTGGGGCCAAATTTAGAATTTTTTTGTACTAAAAGTAGTTATAAGGAAGAAACTTAGGTTTTAAAATCGATATTTTAGTTTTAAAATAGATTTTATGTTTTAAACTTGTGTTTCTAGTTTTGGACTCCACTCTAACATTCTCTCCTTAACTTTCTCCGACATACTTCTCCTTGTTATTATACCAAACAGTGTTACCACTTTCCTTTCTGTGCTTAATCTTTTTGTTCAGTTAATTTTTTAGTTCTTATCAAACTGCTTATTTTTATTTTATTCTTGTATAGAAGACTGATCCAATAAAGAGTAATACCTGATTCTATCACCACTAGATGGCAGAATGGAATAAGTCAGATCTGTAGTCCTCAGACAGGAGTGTGTGTGTGTGTGTGTGTGTGTGTGTGTGTGTGTGTGTGTGTGTTTTGGAGAATTCTCACTCCATCTTGTGGTGACATATAATTAAATCAATTACTCTTGCATTCCTAATAGTCGTATGAGTCTCAGCAACTCATGATTACCTTGTTAGGGTAATGCCAAACTGTGCTTAAGTTATTAGTAAATAAACACAGCATTGATTTGTATGGTTAAAGATAAAGATACTCTTGCTTTGGGTTTTTGTCCACTTACTTTAAAACTTGAAGTACTTCATTAACATTATTTGTGATTAACTCTCAAGATATAAACAAACAAGAAAATTGTAAGATACATCTGTTTAAATGTGTGGCTAACCTAAGCTATGCAGTTAATTCACACAGCAAGTTAGTGAATGGATCCTGTCTGAAATATGAGAAACTTAAAATTAGATGTTACTTAAAATTTTTTTAATTAAAAATTTTTTTAATGTTTATTTATTTTTGAGATAGATGAGTGTGAATGGGGGAGGGCAGAGAGAGAGGGAGACACAGAATCCAAAGACTTCCAGGCTCTGAGCTGTCCACACAGAGCCCAATATGGGGTTTGAACTCATGAACCATGACATCATGACCTGAGCCTAAATCAGATGCTTAACCGACTGAGCCACCCAGCAGCCCCTAGATGTTACTTTTATAATATAATTGTTATCACACAGCTAGTTGAATGGCAGAGCAAGAATTTGAACTCAAGTAGTCTAGCTCTAGACCCCAAGCTCTTCATCTTAACCAGACTGTTCTTTAACAGTTTGAAACATTGAAACATATGGATACTGACTCTAAAACTGAACTGCAATGATTCTTAACTATTATGAAATTGAGTGTCAAGTCTCCAGGTTAAGACTGTTAGGTTTTTGTATCATGGACATCCTCTGCAGTAATGATTGGTATAGAACATTTAAATATGTACATTGAGTGCTATATGGTACCTCTTTTGGGGGAAAATCATGATTAGGGAACAATATCATTTATGTGTTTAAATGTTTTCCAGAATTAGGTATGGTAAAAAAAAAAACAAAAACAAAAACAAAAGCAAAAAACTAAACTGAACATTTTATCCAGAACATGATTATGAAACTTTGTATTACATTTGGGTTATTATTATCAAGCAACAATACTATAGTGTTCATAAATAATGGTATGTTAGTCTCAAAAAAGCTTGAGGGAAATATGCCACACAGTTAATTAAAAGGAAGCACATCTGGCTTTATACTTTACCAATTTTCCCAATTAACTTGGCCAATTAAGACATGATTTGGTTAATAGAATGGTTTCTACCAATGTACTATACATATTTGCTTCAGTGAAAAAAGCAGAATGTGCTCTTTGTTGTTTTAATTTTGTTTTCTCCAGGTAGTTTTCCAGGTCTATAAAATTGAATACTTCTTTGCATGTTTTAAGATATATTAGACCTTCATTACAACATGAACATAATCATAGTACTGCTATGTTTAATGTTGAAATATTCTGGTTTCCAGTTGAATGCCAGTATAACCTAAGAGGAATCTGCCTTTTATGAGAAGGGCTTTGAGAGG